CCCTGTCTCTCTCCCCCCTCCACTCTCTCTCTCCCTCTCTCTCTCTCTTTCTCTCTAACTCCCGCCACCCCTTTCCTATTCTTCAATGGAGAAAATTAGAATCCAGAGAAGTGAAGTCACTGCTCAGTGACCCCCCTCCAGGAAGTGCCAAGCTGACCGAAGGGCCTGGTTCTGCTGATTCACAGCCTGACCCCTGCCCACACCACCTCACTGTGATGCTTAATTTTATGTGTGAACCTAACTGACCACAGAGGGCTCAGATTAAGCATTATTCTAGCTGTCTATGAGGATGTTTCCAGAGGAGACTGGCATTTGGACCAGTGGACTCAGCAAAGCAGATGGCCTTCCCTAGTGTGAGTGGGCAGCGTCCAGTCCGTGGAGGGTCAGAATAGAACGAAAGGGGGAAATCCTCCCTCGCTGCTGGATTGCTTCAGCTGGGACAGCTCTCTTCTCTCACCCTCGGCTCTGCTAGCTCTCAGGCCTTCAGACCCTTACTGGGATCTACAGCTTCAGCTCCCCTGGTTCTCAGGCCTTTGGATTCAGACTAAATCACACGATTTGCTTTCCTGGGTCTTCAGCTTGAAGATGGCGGAGAGATGCGCCCTGACTCGTACCCTCACCGTCTCCATCCTGGAGGCCTGTAACATACAAGCAGTCTTCTTACCTCTCCCAACTCCAAAAGAAGGGGTGGCCCAGCAGGCCACTCAGATGGTCCTTCACACTGTCACCAGGGCAGAACAGGCAACGAATGAGGTCCCGAGTTTCCTCATCTGGAGAGAACTGGATCAGTTCCTCTGTATCCTGATTACCTTGATCCTTCAGTCTCCCAAAAGGAATGCTCCCCTTATTCACCACATACAGGACCAGCAGCCCGAGCGCCTGCACAAAAGTCATAAATCGAGCCAAAGGTGCTTATGAATTCTCTCCCTAGTTGGGGAACCGTGGAGGGTGTGGCACAGACTATGAGCAAATGGAAAACACACAGAATTCCGAGGAGTCCACGGGCTGGTCAGGGAGAGAAGACACAAGCTTGTGCATAGAGAACTCGTCAAGGCAGTATGTGGTCCCCACGATTTAGGTTTATAAGGAACAAAAGATAGTCCCAGGCCAGAGTTTTCAGGGCAGACTGCTTGGAGGAAGAGGAATTCAAGCTAGACCCCAAAGTTTAGATACAATTTAGATAAAAGGAGGAAAGGGAGAAGGTTTTAAATAAGGGGGATGCCCAGAGTCTGGCTGGGAACTGGGACCCTGGGTCTGGGCTTTATCTGCTATCAGGCAGCAGATAAAGGAGCCAGACCAGGTCCAGTAGAGCACAGTGATGGCCCCAGAAGTTAGGCCACAGCAGGGAGGCAAGGCCAGGGAGAAGGCCAGCATAGGGACCTCTGCACCCGGCAAGACACCAGTCAGGGGAGGAGCTCAGATCTGGAGCCACAGAAAGGCCAGACAGGGATGGATGGAGAGCTCTTGCTATTGTGTGGGAATTCCAGCACCCTGGACAGCTCCAGGAGAGCGCCGCCCGGCCGGGGTCAGAATGGAGCTGGGAGCGGGGCTCTGCAGAGGCTACATCCGTCTCTGCTCCGCTGTTTCAGGATCTTAACCTTTGGGGCTCAGTTCAGTCTCCCTTGAGCTGGGGATCAATCCCATCCCTCCCATGTGCTTCAGCGGATCTTAGCTTCTGGCCCTCCCAGGAGCTCATCACACACGTTTGAGTGGAGTAGGGAAAGAAATCTCATTTACTTTGTCTTTAGGCAGCAAACATCTCCTGCAGGAATTGTGCAGTTATTTTAGATGCCTGCTGGAGGTAACTCTGGGAGAAATGTGGCATGCTCAGTGTATTTACTATTTAGCCTGTGGAAGGAGAGGGATCCAGAGAGATACAGAAAGTACCACAGTGACTACCAACCCCATCCCAGCCCAGGGAAATGCTGTCTGTCATCTGTCATCTGTCTGCAAGGGAGTGAGGGCAATGGGTACAGGGAGGCGCAGGGCTTGAACCATCTTTCCCACCAGGTTAAAATGGGAACGTCCTCTAATTGGCCACAGGAAGTAAGGTAATGAACAAATAAGGAAGCAGAAAGATAGAAAAGTAAATTGTTTGTAGAAATTACCTCTAAATCTCTCTTGATTGCCTGTGGATCTCCAGCCCACTTGATGCTTTTATCAAAATCTGCCAGGCAAGCACCATTCTTGGCATCTAGGGGGTAATTTGTAGAGATGCAAGGAAAAACCCTCATTCTCCATGTTGTAATTAATTTAAATAAATACGTAACACAATGTATAATCCATCATCGCTGAGGAAGGCAACAGTAAGTTCATACCTGCCTTGTTTACTCCTCAAAACACTATCATGTGCACTGTGTCCTTTCACATATTATGTATCTGCTAAGAGCAGGAGTTACATTTTATCTTTTTCTGAGTCAACGGGTGGGGAAATACAAGGATAAGTTTAACCAGCTCCCCATTCATGCCCTTTTTGGGGACAAAGTGCACAGATTTGTAAAGAAGCTGCTGGAGGGAGTTAAGGTTACGTCCTATAGCTAAAGAACAATAAACAACAAGGTCCAAATCCAAGACCACCTTAGCACAGCGTCCCACCAATCGAGCCCACTCGCTCCTGCCCACTATGATGTGGTGATCAGTTACCCTGGGAACCATGTGCTTGTAATGAGTCACTGCCTCCTTGTCCCCTTCAGAATCTTTCTCTCTTAATGGAAGCCACTGAGTCCTCAAAAAGAGGGATGTGTGGATGGGAGAGGTCGGGAACAACATGAAAGGTGAGTGGGTCAGTGACTTGTCCTCGAGGAGGTGGCTTGGAGGAGTCGGAGAAGGAAGGCTGGGGAACCCCAGATAGGATGACGGCAAGTACCACTGTGTGTTTCTCACACCCCTTTCGTTATGAACTTAGACATCAACGTTGTGTGGAAACCCAGAGTCTAACAAAAAGTGAACCCATCAAATTATTCAACAAGTGTTTAGTGAGGGAAAAAGCGGTGGTGAGGAAGGAGAACATAGTTCTGGCCCTAGACAGTTCAGAGTCTCTGGGCAAGGGAACCGATACTCAATAAGGAATGATTACACACATAAACATAAAATTCATTGCAAGTTTGAAAATGCTAGCCAAAGTGCAGGAGGCCCTGAGAGTGTAACATGGAAGGGCCACTGGGTTGTGAGTGGAGGGGAGAAGTCTTCCTTCAGGAAGAGACACCTCGATGGAAAAGGTCAGTAGAATTTGGGTGGATGAGTGGAATGGGGAAGAGAGAATTCCAGATGGGAATTCCTGGGGAACTCCACTCTCACCGAAGGAAGGACTGATAGCCTGGGGAGGAGGGATGGAGTCAGAAGGTGGCCTGCAATGAAGCTGAAGGGGCAGATGGGGTGCAGATCATAATCCACAGACTGTTTCCAATTCTTTGAAATGATAAATTCCCTTCACTTGCTTAAGCCACCTTGAGTTTCCTGCTGTTGAAATTTGAAAGTGTCTGATGGAACTCTTCACATCTCTTCTAACTCCTGATTTTTTTTGTTTATAGGCCCCAATTTTTTTAACTTTAGTTTCAACAGACATTGCTAAAGTGTTATAAAATTGTTTCACGCTGACACCCAGTTTCTGTCCTCCAGCGTCCCAGGGGAATCTGGCCCTGCAGACACCTGACTTGGTGCCAGTGGAACAGGTTTCTTACTTCTGGCCCCCAGAAGTGTGGGAGGTTAAATTTCTGTCGTTTTAAGCCACCCAGTTTGTGACAATTTCTTTCAGTAGCCACGGGAAACTTACACACTTGGTTAGCTATGTTTCTTTGGGTGTAAATTCTTCTGTTCCAGGCCTCTCTTTCAGGGTATTGGCAGCTCTTAAATATTTTAAGTGATTTTTGACTGGAAGCCTTACTTTGCAGTTGACATCCCATGAGTTCCTTCTGTCAATTCCACCCAACGTAGGGGAGGGATGGATGTACCTGCCAGAGCTTCCGCTATGGGTTTTATTCAGTGGAGCTCTGGGGCAAGCAGAACATGCCACTTAGTAGGTGCTTTGGCAGAAATCGTGTGTGTTTAACTGCTCTTGGTTCCTCTTGAGATCACCAGCCACCCAGCGTCTCACATAGGCCCCCTGTTTGCAGACAGACAGGCCTGTCATGGATGCTTGATCCCTGGGGAAGAAGGGAAGCCCAGAGTCTGACCTCCCTAGTTCCTACTGATGCGCGGATCTGCCTGCTAGCTGGTCCCTGGTCCTCTCCTGCTTCTGGCTTCCATCACTTCCAAGTGGCCCTTTTCTGCACTGTTCCCACTTTCATGATGAGGAAAGCCTTGCTGTGGCTTCCTCACATTTGTCCTGGGCTCCTGTGCTAGTCTTCAGTCCCCTCCTGCCTACGTTTGGTCTCTCCATGATTCTTCAAGATTTCATCCTGTAAGGATTTTTTTTATGTTGATCTCAGCTATGAAATCTCAAAACTCCTGTCCTGTTATTTTAGGGATTCAATACAAGGAAGAGTCTACAGTATGGGCTAGGTCCACCACCTGGAGGCCAAAATAGAATCAAGTCTTTATTGTTCCAGCTTATGAATGGAAGAAGTGGTGCCAGAAATTTCAAAGACCAAGGGATCACAAGCTGTTCTGCTTTGGAGCATGATATATGACCCTTTGGCATCAAGATGGGCAGTTACGTTTGCCTGACTCTTGAAGATGCTTCCTCACCTGGCAGAGCTGGACATATTCCTGGCCCTCGTCCGTCTCCCCAGCAAAGTTGCTTAAAATCAGGAAGACGTGCCACGAGCACTGTCTTCACACTAAAAACCAGCTCTCAGCTGTATTCTTATGCAGAGCTGATTTCTCTCTTCCAGGACCTTAAATACTGTTCCCTGCCTCTCAATGCCTACACCCTCTTGTCGCCCTGGTGCCTGACATGAAGCTTAAATCTCAGGGCATATCTGTAGGTTAGGCTCTGCTTGCCCCCCTAGTCAAGCACCTGGCCTTTGCTGGGCACCTACAACGCACAGGTGACTGGTCCCTTTGACACACTGCACTTAGACCTCATAACAACCTTATGAAGGAGGTAGTATCAGTCTCAGATGAGAAAACAAAGGCTCACAGATTTAAGCAACTTGGTCAAGGTTGCAAAGCTACAAAGTGGTGGGACTAGGCTGCAAGACAACCTGAATGTGGCTAAAGCCAAGGCTCTTTACACTGTGCCACCTTGCCCCCAACCCGGCCCCCTCCAGGATCGTACACTGAGCTCTGCTTGTTACCTTTGACATTGGATTAGTTTATTTTGTTCTGGGATTGCACCAGCGGACGCTGACTTATTCGGCCTGCTTGCAGTCTGTTTCACTGAGTCACAATTTGCCCTGGATCCCAATTTTGACCTCAGTTTTGCCGTTAAGTTCCACGGTAACTGCCATCTTGCCTAAAGGAACACGTTTCCCGGATTCTCTGACTTGCAGACTATCTAAGAATGCAAACTTCTGGAGTTGGCTCCATCCAAGACCTGCCTTCATATTTGCATTTGCCAAAGGTGACACAAAGTTAGCCTGGTGCTCTGCTGGCATCCGCCACCTCCACGTGGGGTAAGAGTTATAACTGGTGGCGCCCTAACTATGGAGTTGTTACATTAATCCTCACACTAAATAATGCACCTTGACTCTAGTTCTTAATTTTTCTGCAGTGAAAATCCCTTCGTTTTGTAAAGAAAGAGCCCACAGTTTCTAAGAGAAGACTGGGAACTCACCCATTAAGATATTTTGTGGCTGCAAATCCTGGTGAGTGTATCCAGCCCAGTGTAGTTCTTGAACAGCCTTAAACATAGACGAGAGGATGTTTCGAGAAAACTCATCTTCTTTGTCTCCCACAGCCTCCCCTCCATGGTTGTCCAAGTGCTTCTCCAGAGTCTGCTCACAGAGGGCAAGGCACACATACAGACAGCCCCCGTGGCTCTCACTGCCGTAGAATGTCACCACGTCACTGTTGGCTCGGCTGCTCTGCAAACAGGAGACTTCATTTTGTCCACGTGCGCTGCCTTCATAGAATCGCTTCACGGCTACCTCTTGGTCTTCATAGAACCCCAGGTAGACGCCCCCTTCAGCAGTGTCAGCAAGTTTATACTCGTCATCAATAAAGATCTTGAGTTTGCCGATCATAGGACGGCGCATCCCGCGGAGCTGTTTCAGGGCCTTTCCCCAGCGTGAGCTCTGAGGCTCCCAGTCTTCAGCGGGAGGGTGAGCATCTTCGGTGGCTCCATGAAGTTGAAGAAGCTTTGCGAGGCTAGTGTCATAATTAGCCTTTGCTATGGCAACCAGGTCCCCACAATTTGTGCTGGCTCCTCGTTCGCATAGCAACCGGACGATTTCCTTCAGACTGTGCTCGACAGCCACCCGCAATGCCGTCCTGCCCTTGTCGTCTGTGTCATTCATCTCTATGTGTCCTTGTTCCAGAAACATCTGCACCAAATCCAGGTTCTTCCTTTCCACTGCCAGGATCAGGGGCGTCTTCCTTCCTTCTCCCCTCACATTGACATCAGCCCCACGGTCCAGCAGAAGGCGAGTGATGGCCCTCACATTCCCATTGTCAGGGCTCCGAAAGGCATAGATCAAAGCATTTCTGCCCATGTTGTCGCGGGCATCGGCCTCTGCCCCCATCTCATGGAGGAGGATGTCCACGACTTCTACGTGCCCTTTCTCAGCAGCATCCATCAGAGCAGTGGCCCCTCCTTTCCGAATCCTCCGATGATCCTCCTTTGTCTTTCGATGCAAATTCACCTCTGCTCCATTCTCATACAGGAATCTTAAGGCTTCGACCTTACCGTACACAGCGGCTTCCATGAAAGCCGTGAAGCCGTTAACGTCACACTCGTTGATGTCTGCCCCCTTAGAAAGGAAAAGTTCGAGCAGCTTCACATTTCCCACGATCCCAGCGATGATAAAGGGAGTGGCCCCATTCCTCTTCCTCAAACAAGGGTCAGCATTGTGACTGAGCAGAAGATCCACAATGTCCTCGCTGTGCATTTGCACTGCATTATGCAGAGGAGACCAGCTCCCTTTCTCTTCCTGGAAATTGACATCAGCCCCTCTTTCCAGCAACTGCTGGACCAGCTCAATGTCTTCCTTTTGAACAGCTTTAATCAACAAATGATTGTCTTCCTCTGAAGCCCTCCCAGAGGGTATGGGTCTTTGCTGAGGGTTGTTACAGTTCTTGGTCTCCATAATGGTAAATACCATTGGCTACAATTTTTTGCTTTTTCTTTGAGAAAATGAAAACGTATGTCCTTAGGGCTTGATCAAAGAGACATGGAGCCCTTAGAGACTGCTCTCAGGGTGAATAGCAATTATCTGGCTACAGACCACCAGTCGAGGAAGGACAACACTTTTGGAATCTTCTGACTTTCCACCTGGAGATGAGAGAGGTACTTTGTAATTTTATAATAGTGAGAAAATATTTAAGACAAGAGAAATTAATTTTACTAGCAACTTTTTCAAAATTCATCTACTTATTATAGAACTTTTTACTATAGAATATTATAAATATGTATAAATTATAAACAAGAAAATTATTACTCTATTCTCCCACTACCCAGAAACAGGCATTGTTAATATTTTAACATAATTCTATAGATTAAAAAAAAAACAGTTGGACTCACACTACGTAATGAACTTTGTAACATGCTTCCTTTCATTTAGTGCCTTACTTTACATGATATCCTACATCATTACAAAGTGTTTTAAAACACTTTAATGGCTGTGCAAGTTGCCATCAGAGAGTTATTTCTGTTCCCTATTACTGAACAGCTTTTTAAAATAACTTTGAAACAAGAGTTTTTAAATTAGAACTTTTTCACAATTCTAAATAATGTTGCAGCAAATTTAGCTTATTTTAGCTTGTTTTCTTACGTTAGATCTTATATAGATTTCTTACGATAGATTTCAAAGAATTGAATGACTGCTCAAAGGCTATGATTGTTTTTTCGGATTCTCAACCTATATTAATAAAAAATTTATTCCAATGCCACATGAACATACTCCTACTAGAAACAGGCGGCCTCTTTAAAAAACCAGAACCCTCCTATAATGAGAGGGAAAAAAAAGTGTCAATTTGCATTTCTGGTTGAAGTGCAACCACTCTTGGTGGGTGTATCCCCGGCTCTTTGCGCAGGTGCAAATTCAAAGTAGTGCGGAGCCGCAGAGCGAGCTCAGACTCCGGCCTCAGCCAGATGGAAGGTAGAGCCCCTGGTCTTGTGACTTTAGACTTAACTTCCTAATTGTGTGACCTTGGATTATTGTCTGGATTTCCTGTTCCCTCAAATGGGGGCAAGCATAAATACAGCGCCCCACATAAAGTGCACCAAAGTAGGGAGGGCGGAGATAGTAGGCATTCAATAAATGATACAGCTAATTATGCCACTTCATGAAAAAAAGTGTTTAACGAACCCCATTCTCCCCACTTATGTGCATACACGTAATACACGAATAAGGAACCTAGGGTGTCAATTTAGTCCAGCTGCCCTCAACCAGATCTGAGCTCAAACAGCAGGTAGCACCAAACTGTAGCCTGAATATTTATATAACTGCATACGCTACAAAATTCAGAAAGCAACCGTTTTTCAGCAGTCGGACCCCTCTGACAGTCTCAAAGCCCCCACCTCAGAGGTCTAATCAGACTCGCAGCGTAAGCACAATCCTCATCAGTGACATCTTTGGCCCATATGTGGGTGTGGACGGTTCCCGTCACAGCAGGTGAAGGGTGGGGCTGGAGCAAACAGGGGCAGAGAAGGAAGAAGGAAGGAAGGAAGGTCAAGGAGGCGCGGAGCACAGTAGCAGGAGAGGACAAAGACAGCCCCGCAAAAGCGCTGCGAGGGACCCGTCCTGCTTTCGGTTTCACTTTCTCCGTGTGCCCAGAGGTGCCCGATACACCCACGATTTGAATAAATAAGGTGTGGATTGTTACAACGTCTGGGGTTCTCAAGGCGCCCTGCGGCTGG